GAGGCCCAACGGATACACACACACACACACACACACACACACACACTAGACTCCTGCTCCAAGTAGGACTGCAGGATAGCATTGAGCCTGCATCTGTGAGTTAGCCATTGTTGGAGAGCGTTAAAGAGAGTCACTTCACCTCTTCCACACTGTGAAATGAGCAAGAAATACATCTTGTCTTCAGCCTTTGAGATTTTTAGGTTTTGTTTGCCACTGCAGTGTAGCTTACTCAATCTTATTCTACTGAGTGTTCTCTAGGAAGGAACTGAATGTCACATAATAAAAAATCATTTACCCTCTATTTAGAAAAGATAACCACCAAAGAAAACTTTAAAAATATACTTTTGGCTATCTGCAATTGGGGGCTATGCTTTCCCGCCAAGGAGCAAATAATTACGAGGTGTCTAATTAAATAGCATCTTCAACCCTTTATCGTACATTGATTGGACTCAATTATGCAGTGCTGTGCAGACGCTCTGCAAAAGCTGTAATCCTGGGTAGTAGAAGGTGAGCAAGGAAGGACAAAGGTTTATGTGGAATAAACAAATAATCCTCAAATCTTATTACGTCAACATCCTCCCACCCAGACTTTTTAAAATGGCTACTAAAAAGTACAAAATGACTCCCCCTGCTTCCTCTTTCCCACTCCTCTTTCCCATGGGCCTATTAATTAGATGAGATGCAACCAAGGAGTCAATCACCTAAGGAAACAAGGGAGCCAGGAGCCAGAGAAATACACAAGCTAGACAATTAGAGCCTGCATCTTGGATGGCAGCTCCACTTCGGCCATTACTTTGTTGCTCGAGACTGTCCTAGATGAGGTACTTTATTTCTTCTATCAGCTCCATCTATTCTCTGTCCTGAAAGAATACACAGCTGCATACTAGTTTCTGGGTCCTCATGACTTTGTTAGACTGTGCATTAAACTTGAGCCAAAGAACATCTGTTCTTTGGAGTAAATTCCTCTGAAGTGATCAATGTTTGCAGAAGGCCCATCTGAGAATGGTCCTACCACACCCAGGGAGCAAGATCTATAAAGAGGAATTAGACTTGCCTCTGAATTATCTGCCCTGAAGAGAGGAAATCCAGAGAATATCCCAACCTCACTCTCCTCCTGCCCTCCCATCCCCTGCCAGGGCCTCCCATTGGCTGAACCCAACCAGAAGCAGAGGGCACAGGGGCCCATGGATGCAGTCCACACAGGTCAGCCTCCCAGGGCTCAGAGTAAGATGAAGAAGGACAGAGATCAGTACTGGAGAGGCAAATGGAAGATATCCAGCAAATTGAATAAATCTGAAAGGTTGCAACTTTAAAGAAAAGGTATATTTAATGGAACTTACTACCAGTTATTGACTAACACACACCAGTACATACAATGGACGTTTCAGTTCAGAGGCCTCCCCTTTGGCTCTTCAAGGCAGTGATTCTCCTTTTCTCCCTCCAAACAGAACAGTGAGAAAGTAGAGACCGGAAGGGGCATTTTCCTCTTCAGAATATAATGTGTGTGGGTGTTGGACATGGCTCATTAGTACGCAACCAAACAGGAGCCACCACAAAACTTTCCTCTGGCCTTTGTTTTAAAAAGATGCCTTTTGGTGGAGACAAACAGATTGCATTCGAGCTTCCCTACCTCTGATCACCAGCAGGAAGGAATCTTTTCTGGAAGGAAGAGCCCGTGGCCCATTCCTGAATACGCTACACCCTTAGCATCTGTGGGTCCCAACAGCCCTTTCAGCGTTATGACTTGGGCAGCACAAAAGTGATGATGAAGGGGTCCTTTCTCCAGGTTCTAAAAGCTTATGTTACTACCTCCTTCCAGGCTTAACTTTACCCAGATGGTGCATGTCAGCCTGTCAGATTGCCCCGTGTGTCAGTCAACCCTCCACTCTTTTTCATTTTTTTACAAAAAGCCCAGAAGACACTTTATTGGGGGGGGGTCTCTGTGCCCCGCTAAAGAGAGAGGAGCCGGACCCATCCTGAGTGGCCGGCACCCCCGCCCCCCGCTGGCCCAGCCCATGGCCGAGAACAGTCAGGAGGACATCTTAGAAAAAATAGATCTCTATGTACACCTGGCGCATCTGTAGCACATAAATTAGGGAGTGCTCTGACCCCCGCCCGCGGAGCCCACACACTGGGAGGGAGGGGGACCCAGTCCAGGGAGGAGTGCAGGCCCTGTCCCCCGGCTCAGGTGCCCTGGGCCTCCCGGCCTCCCGGCCTCCATCCGGGCACCAAGCAGGAGGAAGGCGGAGTCGGTAGCCTGGTCCGAATTGGGCCTCAGGAGGCCCCGTAGAAGCCACACTTACAACGCTGTCACCGAACAAGTCACTTCAAACCCAGGGCTTGTAATCCCACGAGGCAGCGGCCAAGGAGACCCCGAGCCTCTGCTTCCTCCACAGAACAGCAGCCCTCCCCTCGATCGATCGGGGCCATGGCCTCAAGCCCACACGTCTGACTTGGGTCCACTCAGACCCTCAGTTCCGGCTCCCGACCTCCTCCTCCTCCTCCTCCTCCTTCGGGCCACTGGAGTTCTTGCCGAACTTGTAGACGAGCTGCAGGCCGGCCGCGGCTCCAGGATCTCCCGTTTGTAGTGGTATCTCAGGGCCCGGCTCAGCTTCTTGTACGTCATTCCGCTGTTTTCCTTCTTCCGGCCCCGGGGGGGGGGGGGGGGGGGCATGGCCTCGGGGCGCAGGAACCTGAACACGCCCTTCTGCCGGTTCTCCCCCTTCATCAGGCCCTCGTTTAGCTCCGGGCGGATGAGGATGCCCCGGATGAACTCCCACGGGTGGGTGCCGCTGGGGGCGTGCTTGCTCCTCCGGCCCCTCCAAGCTGTCCCGAGACTCTCCGCTCAGCTTCCGGGGCCGCCCCACTTCCGCTTCCCGTGCTTGGGGTCCCGGTTCTTGTAGTCAGCGAAGTCTGCCCTGGAGAAGAGCTTGCTGTCCCTGGGGCCCAGGTCCATGTGGCTTCTCCCCGAGTCTTGTAAGAATGGGAGCACCCAGAGGCACCAGTCCCGGCAGTGGAGCCGGTGGAGACATCCAAGCTGCCCGGAGATGCGAGGGGGGGAGTGGGGGGGGCACGTCATAGCTGCCCCAGTTGTAGGGACTGGGCTGCTGGCCATCCTCCGGCATCTCCAGGCCAAAGGGGCTGCCCTGGTCAAAGGGGCTGGGGTCCCCCAGCATCTCCTGGAACGAGGTGCTGTCCTGCTCCAGGAGATCGATGGTCCAGCTGAGCTGGTCCGGGAAGCTGCACGTGGGGTCCCACAGCTGGGCGTAGAGCTGGTCCCCCAGGGGCCCGAAGACCAGCCGCAGCTCCTCGGGCGCGCAGCTGCAGAGCGCAGCCCGGTCCATGTCGCAGGGCGAGAAGTCGATGGTGCTGGCGTCAAACTTGTTCTTCTCCACCTGGTAGCTGATCCAGTCGAGCACCTGGGCCTTCGACCAGAACTGAGGCTGCTCCCGCAACCAGCTGGCCTTCTCTGGGCCCTCGGGCGGCATCTGGGGGTTGCTCAGGGACAGCACGAGGTCGTAGGCCCCAAAGGAAGCGGCAGCGGGGGCGGGGGGGGGGGGGGGCGGGGGGGTCCCCGGGGCTGTACATGGCGCTGAAGTAGTTGCTGAAAACGTTGCTGATCTCACAGATTACGGCCATGGGGCTCCAAAGTGGCGGTGCGGGCGCATGTGGCGGGCAGGCGGGCGGGATGGCCGGACCGCATGCACCAGTAACGCAGGAGGCAAAAGCTCAGCAGGCTGTCCAACCCTCCACTCTTTAAATCGTTTTTCACTACTTTCCCTGCCTGGAAGCTCTCACCACTCCCTTTGTTCTCAGGTGCTTCTGGTTTTCTAAATCAGAATCTATATTTTAAGAGGTCCCAGACATCCCAGGTTTATGGATCAAAAGACTTAATATTATTAAGCTATAAATACTCCCCCAAACTAGTTAGCTTTTTTTTTTTTTAAAGAACGTTGTAAGCTTATCCTAGAATTCACATAAAAATACAAGGGACCCAGAGTAGCCAAAACAATCTTGAAAAGAAAAATAAAGTTGGACGACTCATACTTCCCTATTTCAAAATTTACTACAAAGCTACAATAATCAAAACAGTGTTATTCCAGCATAACTTTAGCCATATGGTCTTACAGAATACAATTAGGAGTCTAGAAATAAACTGATATATCTATGGTCAATTGATTTTCAACAAATGTGCCAAGACCATCCAATGGAGAAAGAATAGCTTTCTCAATTAATGGTGCTGGGATAACTGGAAATCCACATGCAAAAGAATGAAGTTAGATCCATACCTCACATCTCATACAAAAATTAACAATAAAAATCAGAGACCTTAAGGTACCCAAATGTAAGAGCTAAAACTATAAAATTCTTAGTAGAAAACCTAGATGTAAATCCTTGACCTTGAATTAAGCAATAGTTTCTTAGATATGACATCCAAAACTCAACAAAATAAAAAATAAGTTGAGATTTTAAGAACTTGTGTTCTTCAAAGGACACAGTTAAGAGAGTGCAAAGACAACCCACAGACTGGGAGAAAATATCTTAAAATTGTATATCTGAGAAGGCACTTGTATCTAGAACATACATAGAACTTGTACAACTCAACAATAAAAAGACAAATGATTCTACTTAAAATAGGGCAAAGGATTTGAATAGACATTTCTCCAAAGAAGGTATACAAATGGCCAATAAGCACATACAAAGATGTTCAACAGCATTAATCATTAGGGAAGTGCAAATTAAAACCACAATGTGATACCACCTTACATCCACTTAAGACAACTAAAAAAATAATTTTTATACAGACAATAACAGTGTTGGAACCCTCACACATTGCTGGTGGGAATGTAAAATGGTCCAGTCATTTTGGAAAACATTCCGACAGTTTCTCAAACTATTAAAGTTATCATGACCCAGAAATTCTATTCCTAGGTATATACCCAAGAGAATTGAAAATATATGTCTACACAAAAACCTTACACAGATGTTTATAGCAATATTATTCATAGCGCTACAAAAAAGAAAACCCAAAAGTCCATAAACTGATAAAAGGATAAATAAAATGTGGTATATCCATGTAATGAAATACTGCATGCAACCCTATATTTATTGCAGCTTTATTTAAATAGAAAAGAAAAACTTTTTCTTAATATTCTATAATCTTCACTAGGACTTGCTATGACCATTATTGAGTATGATCTGGCAGTACACAGTGTGAGCTTAGATGATTGTGGCACTTGCATTGTATGTATATACTCTTGTGGAGTACTCACCCATGCTGCATTCATAAATGCAAATTAAGGTTTTTCTCTGCAGGAAATGTTCAGTGATTCCAAACTGTTATGTCTGTATATAGAAGGAATAGACTTGGGATAGACCTTGTGACTTCTCACACACTGTCTCAAATAAAGAAGCCATTGCAAACCTCTGAAAATCTGCAAAGACTGTAAAAAAGGCAAACAGACCGAACCACAACCAAGAAGCTGCCATGAGTTTTCATGTATGTTTTTATTTTATGGATGAAGAGTCACATTCTGATAGAAAATCCAAGAGGCATTTTTCCAAGATACAAATGAAAGGAAGTAAAGAGACACAATGCAGGAATCCCACCAGGAGGCTCAGAGATAACTTACAAATTTTTCTTAAAACACTATGGAAATTCTGGGGCCACACACAAAATGCTAGAGCAATGAAAGTAGTTTTTTTTTAAAGGATGAATGTTAAAAACATTATATTAAGTAAAAGAAGCCAAACACAAAAGGCCACATATGGTAGGATCCCATCTATTTGAAATGACCAGAATAGGCAAATCCATAGAGACAAAAAGTAGATCAACGATTGCCCTTCCTGAGGGGAAGCAGATTAGGCACTGAACTGCTCCTGGGTAAGGAACTGCCTTTTGGAGTGCTGAACATGTTCTGAAACTAGACTGTGGTGTTGCCTGCCTCCATGAATATATTACAAACTATGGCTGAGCTGGTGGGGCTCAGTGGTTGAGCATCAACCTATGTACCAGGAGGTCAAGGTTAGAGTCCCTGTCAGGGCACATGCCCGGGTTGCAGCCCAACCCGATCCCCAGTGTAGTATGTGCAGGAGGCAGCCGATCTATGATTCTCTCTCATCGTTGATGTTTCTCTCTCTCTCTTTCCCTCTCCCTTCATCTCTAAAATCAATAATACATATTATATATTTTAAAACCATGGAAATGTTCACTTGCAGAAGGTGAATGTTATAGTATATACATTGTATTTCATCAGAGCCTTTTTAAAAAATGCTCTTGAGACACTCAGCACAGAGTAACCCAGGTTTCCTGCCTGGGGCTCACATGGAACGCAGAACGCTGCACCCAACAATGCCCTCCTGTAGGGATTCCACATTCCACGCCCAACGCCAGCTCTTAACAGACCCTACCGCCTGTTCTACCTCAAGCGGGCAGACCAGCTGTGGCTCAGCTCCCAAGTCGTTCACTCTGGGTAAGGCCACCGAAGTCTCTCACCCTGGGTAGACTCGGAGGACCCCGTCGCCGCCGCCTCGCCCAACGCCGCTGTTGCCTCCGCAGCCCCCGCCTCCGCGCTGCCTTGGCTTCACTGGTCCCGGCACCTGAGCCACCAGCCATGACGACCCCGCCGAGACGCTCACAAGCACTGGACAGCTACCACCCTGCCTGCGAGGCTGCCGTGAACCACCAGATACACCTGGAACTCTATGTCATCTATGTGTATAAGTCCATGGCCACTTATTTCGAAGAGAACCAGGTCACCTTGAAGTACGTGGGCAAGTTCTTCTTGGGACAGGCCGCCCAGATGAAGGAGCACGTGGACAGGCTCATCCACCTGCAGAACCAGCGCAGCGGCCAAACCCGCGTGTACGAAGGCAACATCGACACGCCTGACTACAACTACTGGGACAGCGGTCTGAAGGCCCTAGAGCACGCCCTGGACCTGGCCATGAACGTCAACCAGAACCTGCTGTATATCCACCAGCTGGCCATGGCGAAGAACGACGCCCGCCTGTCGGATTTCCTGGAGCACAACTGTGTGTATGACCAGGTGAAATCCATTAAAGAGCTCAGGGATCACATCAGCAACTTCCCTGTGTTCCCGAGTACCTCGGAAGACCGCCTGGCGGAGAATCTCCTTGACAAGCTCTCCCTGAATGACAAAAAGAACTGAACTGAACTTGGACTGCTTTCCCACGGCCGGAGGGGAGGGGTGGGGGTGGCGACTTCCTCTGGTCATGTGATGGGAATGCATGTAGCAATGTTGCCCTTCTGGGTTTTAACATCTTGCAATACAGTTCTTGGCTCCTAAATCAAGTTCTCTGGTTGGTTGGTGTGTGTAAAACCCTCGCCTTTTAGGTTTTAAAAAGGTATCCAAGAGTCTCTCCACCCACCCATCCCCATGTGCAGCTTGGGATCTCCAGTGATGGCGGGAGGAGGTATTCCATGGGACCCTGGAAATCACAAAACGAATCTTCCCCTTATAGTGTGGTATATGGGGGTGGGGTGAGGTGGATGGTCTGGGGGCCTGGTGAATGTGGGTGGATATGCATAGAAGTATTTTTAAGAATGGTCTAGCCCGGTATTGGTGGTTCACTGGTTGAGCATGGACATATGAAGCAGGACATCATGGTTCAATTCCCGGTCAGGGCACATGCACGAGTTGGGGGTTCAATCTCCAGTAGGGGGCGTGCAGGAGGCAGCAGATCAATGATTCTCTAATCATTGCTGTTTCTCTCCCTTCCTCTTTGAAATCAATTTAAAAATTTTAAAAAATAAAAATAAAATGGTCTAGAATTTATCATAGTAGTTGCCTCTGGGGAAGGAGAGAAGAGAATGGGATTGCGCAAGGGTTAAAATAAAGGGGGTGGGTCTTCAATTTTACCAGAAATGTTTTTGTTCATTCAGCTACACATATGTTAATGTATGTTGATTCTGAGTAGCAAGCTGGGGGCTCTGGAAGCAACATGACAGAGTACCTCTTTGACAAGCTCACCCTGGGCAACAGTGATCATAGGAAATGAACCTTGGACTGGCTTCCCTATAGACACAGAGTTGATAAACTAAAACGGTAACAATGACACTTTGCGAGTCCACGTTCTTTTCTTTACACTATTGCATTTTGTTTTTATAAGAATCTCAAGAAGTAAAAAGGACAGGTGTCATCACCATGTCTTTACCAATAAGAAAAAAAGGAGGCCACGCAGGTACTAGTAAGGAGGTCTGGAATGCAGACATGTACGTGGATCTCTGATGCCACATTTCTGTTCTATTTTTCCTGTTAGCCCACAGGTGTATCAATGGGTTAAGCAAGACTGGGTGGGTATACTGGGGATACAGCCAGATAGCCAGCCCCGGGAGGGAGGGAAATCCCCAACACTCTTAAAGACAACCCTGATCACTACGTTCTCCCCTAATTACAGGTGTGCCTTCCAGCCCAGGGTGGGGATGGCCTCTAAACCTCAGCCAAAATGCTTCTCATATGAAATCAACCTTCAGAATTAGCAACAGAATGTAGAAGCGGTAGCAGGCCACCTCACAGGAAGGCAGCCCACACCTGCACACCTGACTTCCTCTGTTTGGGCTCTCTCTCCCACACAGGCAGCAAGGTTTTGCCTGAGTTGGCACTGAATACTTATGA